CTAGGGTGGAGATAGCTATTATGAGGGGGCATAGTTTTAAAGTGAGTGGAGGTAGATATAGGGGAGATGTCAGAGATAGATTCTTTACTCAGAGAGTGGTCGGGGCATGGAATGCATTGCCGGAGAAGGTAGCGGAGTCGGCCTCATTAGGGGCATTTAAGCGGCTATTAGATAGGCATATGGATGATAGTGTAAGGTAGGGGTGGAGGTTAGATAGACCTTAGGTTTAGGGTAAAAGTTCGGCACAACATCGTGGGCCAAAGGGCCTATAGGTTCGTTATTCGATGAAGCGAAAATCAAAGGTCAGGAAGACCAACTGGAGGATATCTTTCCACCAGTATCTACACATGATATTAATGTATAAATGGCCCAGAATTCTTTCGTTCCATTGACATCAAAACTTTTGCCAATTTTTACACCAATCAGGCTAATGGAAACTTACACCCATGTTTCCTCTTTGCCTATGTTAGCACATAAAACCAAGTCCAAACCTTCACCAACAGTCGAGAGTGGCAAGGGGCTGGGAACTAGAGCAGCAGGTCAGCAAGTAGAGGGATTGAGAGGAAGGTACATGTTAGGACCAGATGTAGCTGAGTGAGTTAGTAAGTTTACAAAGATCAGTGGAGTTGTGGATAATGTAGAATATTGTCAAAGGATACAGCGAGATATAGATCAGTTGCTGACATGGGCAGAGAAATGGCAGATAGAGTTTAGTCTAGCTAAGTGTGAGATGCTACATTTTGGGAGATCAAATGTTAAGGAAAAGTATACAGTTAATGGCAGGACTCTGAACAGCATTGATGTACAGAGGGATCTTGGGGTTCAAGTCCATAGCTCCCTGAAAGCGGCCACGTAAGTAGATAGGGTGGTAAAGAAGGCATATGGCATGTCTGCCTTTATTGGTAGGGGAATTGAGTACCCAGTCAGGATGTCATGTTGTAGCTTTATAAGACTTTGGTTAGGCCACACTTAGAGTATCGCATTGAATTCTGGTCGCCACATTGCAGGAAGGACATGGAGGCTTTGGAGAAGGTGCAGAAGAGGTTTACCAGGATGCTACCTGGATTAGAGGGTATGAGCTATAAGGAAAAGTCAGAAACACTCAAGTTGTTTTCTCTGGAGCGGCGGAGGCTGAGGGGAGACTTGATAGAAATCTATAAAATTATGAGATGCATAGATAAGGTTGACAGTCAGAATCTTTTCTCCCAGTGTTGAAATGTCTAAAACTAGGGGGCACACATTTAAGGTGAGAGGGGGAAAGTTCAAAGGTGATGTGAGGGGCATGTTTTTTATTCAGAGAGTGGTAGGAGTATGGAATGTGCTGCCAGGTGTGGTGGTGGAGACTGATACAATAGGGGCATTTAAGGGACTTTGAGATAATCACACGATAATGGAGGGATATGGACCAAGGGCAGGTAGAAAGGATTAGTTTAATTTTACATCGTGTTCAGCACAACATTATGGGCCGAAGGGCCTATTCCTGTTCTGTACAGTTCTATGTTCTATGAGCGTGCTTCTATCCTCTGCCATCAGTCTCAGAATCTTTGCAGTACTACTTCATTCCATCATTATGGGATATGCCTGATGGAACTCATAGTGAATAAGGCAAAGAACATGAGGCACTCAGAGTAATAGTACTCCAGTTACATATTGTGCAAGTCTGAATGATAAAAAGTCATTGCAAAAATAAATGCTTTCAAACTCAAGAAATCTCAATTGTGGCAATATTCGATGGTTTCAGGCTGTTTTGCACTGACATATTTTTGGTATAGATCTGTATAAGAGTATAAGTTACACGGGCCGGGCCATGTAGACAACTGCAGGGAGTTTTGAAGCATGTACTTAAAAATAGCAGCAACAATTTTTCACTTGAACTTCAATTTGCTGGGAGTCTAACTTGTCCTGAAGTGCATTTTCTTCAATAATATATTTTATTCATAACATTCATGAAAATACATTGCACAACAATTCAACATGAATATTACGATATTTGTAATAAAATTCAACTTGTTCCAAATGTTGTTCCATTTGATACAATTGTTACAGATTTCATATTTACAAAACACAGTGTCAGGTATACAGCCCGAAGGTGAAGGCATTTCAGATCAGAATTACAGAAAGTGCAATAGATAGATTGTTCTTTTTATGCCCTGTTTCATGCTGTGCTACCTCAATACACTTTTAGTGTCCTTGATTTACAACATACATTCTTTGTAAAGTACACAGCCTGAGGGGTCCAGCCCCTCAGTGTACTATACTTGAAAGGCAATGGACAAAGACCTTTTACTACAGCAACTGTCCCAACCTTTATGTGCCTGACATCATGTAGTCCTCAAATTTAGAACGTGCAAAGTCTGCAGCACTCAGTCAAGGACAACTCCTAGCACTGGTTGACCAGCAAATTTCAGTCAGACACCAAAGAGTATCTTGCAATAAGTTGATGGTCTTGCAGATGCTGTCATATTTCTTGTGGTGACTGTCTCTGGAAACAGAAAGTGGAGTACAGAGTCCTGTGTCACAGTGTTGCTCAGGATGAACCCCAACAGAAACCACTGCATCTCTCTCCCTTCTTGTGGAATGTGCCTTTGCAAAGAAGCTAGACAACAGCCTTTTCCCCACAACAGGCACCTCAAGGACAACGTGGTTAGACTCTGGACATGTAGGAAGGTTCCTACAGGAAGTGCTTTACCCAACATCAGCCACTACATTGAGGAATTTTACCAAATAATTTTGACAGGATGCTCAGGGAACTATCCAACAAGATCTACCATCTCCTTCCTCTGCAGCGCCTTGAGAATGTTATGTGCTGACCACTGTCTCCTGCAATGGTAGGCGAGGTATTTTTCCGCATAAATAGGGACAGTGATTATGGCATGTTCCAACTGCTTGAGGCCTTCATCAGCAGTGTGGCCAGACGTTATCCTTTGTGAAGGGGTGACATGGTGGCTCAGTATTGTCTCACAGTACCAAGGACCCAGGTTTGATTCCAGCCTTGAGTGACTGTCTATGTAAACATTGTATGTTCTCCATGGGTTTCCTCTGGGTGCTCCAGTTTCCTCCCACAGTCAACAAATGTGCAGGTTAGGTGGATTGGCCATGCTCAATGCAGGGTCACAGGAATAGGGTGGTGAGCTGGGTCTGGGTGGGATACTCTTCAGAAGGTCAGTGCAGTCTTGATGGGCTGAATGGCCTCTTTCCAAACTGTACAGATTCAATGATTCTAAACTTGAGGCAGGTAAAACCTCAGCGTGTGGTGAGACTCACTGTTTGCAAATGGGATCTATGCATGTGTCACATCTTAGGGAGAATGTTTCTCTTTGCAACATGTGTATTTTGGATTATTGCGCTAACATGCTACCTCGCATCTTACAGGTTTGTTAGTGACAATGATTGAGGAAATTTTCTTGGCAGAAGTTTCAGCACAAAACCACTACAAATCAGTTCACCAAATTTCTACACAAGGAGATAGCTCCACAAAAAATGTTGCAGGAATTTCCAGGCCAATGTACAGTCAGAAATGTCTGCTGAACAAGAGAATGTTCAATATGACATCCAAGATAAAACTCTGTCTGTTACTTATTGAAAACTGACCTATAAGTATCCTCTTGAATACATAAATCAAGAAAATTAAATTCAGAGAACCATTCTTACCACCGTTACCGTTTTGCTACAAAGATCCAAGAGTATGTGTTATCAGCTTATTGTGAGCCTGTCGGGTTCAAGAAGGTCTTAAGGCTTCTGAATCCATAAGACCATAAGATATAGGAGCAGAATTTAGGCCATTCAGCAGAATGAGTCTGCTCCACCATTCAATCATGGCTGATATGTTCTCAACCCCATTCTCCTGTCTTCTGCCCTTAACCCTGGATTCCCTTACTAATCAAGAACCTATCTATCTCTGCCTTAATATCCTCAATGACTTAGCCTCTGTATCCTTCTTCAGCAGTGAGTTCCACAGAGTCACCACCCTCTGGCTGAACAAATTCCTCCTCATTTCAGTTCTAAAGGGTTGTTCCTAATCAGGTCCTAGTCTCTCCTACCAATGAAAACATCTTCTCCACGTCCACTCTATCCAGGCTTCTTAGTATTCTGTAAGTTTCAGTCAAATATTCCCTCACCCTTCTAAACTTCATCGAGTGCAGATACAGAGTCCTGAACCATTCCTCATATGACAAGACCTTCATCTCTGGGATCATTCTTGTAAACCTCCTCTGGACCCTTGCCAAGGCCAGCGCATGTCTCCTGGATACGGGGCCTATAACTGCTCATAATATTCCAAACCCAGTCTGACCAGAGCCTCATACAGCCTCAGTAGTACATCTCTGCTGTCGTATTCTAACCCTCTTGAAATGGATGGCAACATTGCATTTGCCTTCCTAACTGCCAACTGAACCCGTACATCAACCTTAAGAGAATCCTGAACTAGGGCTCCCAAGTCCCTTTGTGCTTTAGGTTTCCAAATCTTTTCCCTGTTTACAAATACTCTATGTCTCTATTCTTCCTGCAAAAGTGCATAATCTCTCACTTTCCTACATTGTGTTCCATCTGCCACTTCTTTGCCCACTGTCCTAGCCTACCAAGTCCTTCTGCAGCCTCCCCGCTTCCTCAACACTACCTGCTTCTCCCCTATCTTTCTGTCAACTACAAACTTAGCAACAACGCCCTCGGTTCCTTCATCCAGATTGTTAATGCATAATTTGTCACAATATTTGTGCATCTTGATTCTGTATCTCCACGCCAGTGTGAAGGGGCTAGCATGAAATATGACATGAGCTTTGACCGGAATGAAAAACAGCATCACGCTAGTGATAGACTTTAACCTTGCTACATGCTAAGTCCTGGGTCTGTGGCAGATATGAAGGTATCAGTAGAATCCTGCTGATCCAGAAGTTTCATCAGAATTTGAAAGTCTTTGTATTAATATATTTTCTCATTTGAGCTTGCTTTGTTGATGATGATAGGCAATTGTGATTTATACTACTAAACGCTTTCTTCAATAGGTGGATGATGACAGAATGGACACCATGCTCACGGACGTGTGGTAAAGGAAGTCAAAGCCGACAAGTGGCCTGTACCCAGCAGCTCCGAAATGGAACTTTCATCAGAGCTCGAGAAAGAGACTGTTCCAGACCAAAACCTACTTCTCTCCAGCACTGTGAAGGTCAGGACTGTCTGACAGTGTGGGAAGCTGGAATATGGTCAGAGGTACAAAACTTTCTCAGCTTTTGTTTGTATTTTTCTTTAATTACTAGTTAATCCTTTATACCTTTGCTCACCCAGAAGGAGGAGCCAGTAAAATTCAAGAATGATGGTCCAGATCCAAACTCAGTTTATGTAACTTAATATGGAACTCCAGTTTGGAGTATCATAATTTCAAAGTTTTGTTATGCTTTATTGTTTTTCCTACATGCACAGATCTTTTTAAAATGTATCTCTCCCTGTGTCAATGGCGACAATTCTAATCCACACCAGCTGGTATGAAAGAAGCTGCCCTGGCTCTGCCACCTAGCCTGGTAAATTGTGAAGGGGCAGAAACAGTGGCTGCAATGGGGTAAATTAAACCCAACTTTGTGAGATCCAGACAGAGTCGATGTGCCTGCAAGATGGGGCTGGGCCTTCTCCTGCGTGTGATACCCTCTTGTTTAGTGTAGGAGCCTGCGGCACACATGTCACCAAACCTCAGCAACTTCTTTGGATTCTGGTAGCTGCCGCTGTGTGGCCTCTGATGTTTCAGGCAGGCACCAGACGGTTACACCAGGATGTACATGAGGCTGGGCTAACTCCATCTTTAAATTAATGGCATTGGGCGTTGCAGCATGAGTTGACACTGAACTAATTTCACCAGACTAAAATCTGACAGCAGCAAGTAGTCAGCAGTGTGCGTTTGTGTTAGAGATAGTAGGAACTGCAGATGCTGGAGAATCCGTGACAACAAGGTGTAGAGCTGGATGAACACAGCAGGCCAAGCAGCATCATAGGAGCAGAAAGGCTGATGTTTTGGGCCTAGACCCTGAGGGTCCTATGATGCTGCTTGGCCTGCTGTGTTCATCCAGCTCTGCACCTTGTTATCTGCGTTTGTGTTAAGTCTGTTTATCAAAAGTCTATATTACTTTACAATCTCATTTCCAATCAAAATGCTACATTAAAGGGTGTCAATTTCAGCATTGAAACAATTCACACTGACTTCATTAATATATTGCAACTGCGTTAAAGCCAAATGTCAGACTCTAAGGAATTAATAATCATTTTAATAGTTAGCACAAATTTTATTTATTCATTATTTATACATTGTGACAAAACTTTGGAATTTGTCACAATTTTCAAAATGTCCTGCAGAAACAATCTTTATGTATTCTTCTAGGAAATCAAGTGGTTCTTTTCTGTAATTCTGGAGAATAACTGTGTGCAGCATGCTTTTACTGCCATGCAGCAATGGTGCCCAGGGCACAGTGATGGGATACTGAAGTACAGCATGGCTTACGTGACTCCCACTGGATTTTGTGAGTCTCTGTCACTTTTGTAGAATAATACAACCTCACATTATTTTTGAAGAAGAAAGATTAAACGGCATGGACATGTTCATCATTCCCAGTAGGGGTGGGTTTGCAGGCAGGGGCACACATAAAAACACTGTGCCTGCTGTTTGCCTTCTTGCCATGCCCCCACCACAATTGTACGGACAGCAGTTCTGAGGAAGGGTCACTCGACCCAAAACATTAACTCTGATTTCTCTTCACAGATGCTGCCAGACTTGCTGAGCTTTTCCAGCAATTTCTGTTTCTGTATGTGCGGCAGAGACTGGTTATACATTGGAAAACGAGCAGGTGGCACACTTCAAGCTTTGGGCAGGAAGTGGGAGGAGGCTGCCTCTTTTATGGAGCTTCTGTTTCAATTGGAACATCCTTACCTCCCAAACAACAGGCATTCATGCATTTCCCTCCCCCAGAAACTGTCCTTCCCACCCCACAGTGCCCCATCATCGTGATTCCTCCACCTCCCCCTCTGCCACTTTTCTTTTAGCTTGTATTCAATTCACCAGCAGCTCTCAGAGGTAAGACCTCCTCCCTAGGGGGCAGCAGTCTCAGTAGAAGTTAAACCTATTTGAGCGCTATGGGAGCAAATCTGTAGGGGGAGGAGAAACAATATGTACTCTTCCAGCCATGGTAACATCTCACTGAACATAAAATCCAACCCCATTTACCTTCTCAAGGACTTAATGTATTACTTTATAACCAAAGCAAGAACTCCGTGAGTCAGAAAAGGAGTTCAAAGTCACTCTTGTCATGGGCAATTTGTTCGGGGGATCTGGACAACCTGTTGAGTTTAGGTTTTATACAATCTAAGAGAAACCCTATCTCGAAGCAATTCAAGATATATCTAGACATTTAGTCCCCAGCAATACAGGGCATAGGTCTCTTCATATAAAAATACTGTGACCCTGGATTTCTCATCATTTTGATTTCCAGCTGCACAAGCTCAGCCAAAAAAAAACGTCATAATAAATTTAAACTCCAAGATGTTTGGTTGATCCTGTTGTTTTACAAGGACACTCTGGATTAATAATGACAGTTGTAAAGAATTTACATTTAAATAGCATCTTTGACAACCTCAGATCATTAAAAAACACTTTTGCAGATAATGCTATACTTTTGAAGTGTAGACAGTGTTCTGATTTGGGATATTATTGTAAAAACAATGCCATTTACTCTTTTATCTTATGCAAGGACATTAACTGATATCAGTGTAGCAAAATGCTTATGAAATTTGTAAAAGAGTTCAATAAATCCCTGCCTGGATGATTTAAGCCAAAGGTTCTAAGTATATTGTTGCACATTCCTGCGTATTGCATGTCCAAATCATGCTTTATATCAGAGAACTGGTGGAATTTATGCCTTCCGACATTCTTTTGTAAAACAGCAGTCATCAACACAGATCATTTGGTGTTAGTAAGTACTCAAATAAAAGTAGTGCATCTGAGTTAATTGTTGATCCAGCTGCTTCTAAATGGTACTCGAAGGTTTAATAGTACGTTAAGTACAACATGAAGTGCAAGCAAGCTGTAATTAGGTACAATATGTTCTGACTCTTTTAAATCTTGAATTACACATGGACATAAAATTATTCTGCAAATTCAATGGAAAAAACATTTATTGAGGCTGATGGGGATGCCTATTATATTCTTAACCTTGCTTCGACAAGTTGAAATGTAAAGCGATTCAGCTGTTATTTTCTCTTAGACAGTATAAGAGCTTTTCATATCTGTCATATTTATTCTGCAAAAATGTGGATTTGAATTATATCAAATTTAAGTATAAATTAGAGATATTTTGGCCCTTTAGCTACAAAATAATTGAAAGAGTTACATTGAAATGTTGAGTTTTTAACACAAAGTGTATTTTTAAACCAATATTGAGAAAGGTGGCAATGAAAATCTTTCCCAAACTCTGTAAGCAACATCCATTGATTCAGTCTGTCAATTATTAAAGCTTTAGGTGTTGAGAAACTTCATGTACTGTGAATACATCACAGGATGTCAAACAGCCCACAATGTACTGTGGTTCCATGTTGTGGTGGGATCTTGTTGAAAGGCAATGCATTGTATTCTGAAGCTATGCTGGTTTCATTGGGAATGGAACCCAGCTGAACATGGTTTTTCATCTACTGAATCAGGATTAATAGCAAGCCCCTTAAGTAAGCCAAATATACTAACCTCCAAAAAACATTTCCCACTTTGGCTGTTACCTTTTAACCAACAACACTGACTTTGGCTTCCGTTGATATGGTGCATTTCAAATTCAATGTGAGAAAACTATGTTTGACCTTACCTCCGGGCACCCACTATGACCTCACCTACATCGCCTTCTCATTCTTGTCACTGCATTGCACTTGAACCTCCCAACACCACCATCTATCCCTTCATGCTCATGTTGACTTCAATACTATACTCGCTAAGTCCCAATGATCCTGCTGACCGCGATCCCTCCCATTCATGAGTTCACCTACAGCCTCACTTTCAGTGACACAGTCCCTTGAGATGGTACACTCCTGTTTTGTAATGCCCACTGTGCCACACCCAACTACTCGATAACTGTTATGATACCCTCTGCCATGCAATGCCAATAACCAGACACAGCCCTACGCATAAACTTTCTGCAGCAATGACCATACCCTAAACTTGCATCACTGTGTGGTGTACCCTTCTCATCCATCACCCTAAAAAATACAGGACAGACAGTTAAAAAAGGGAGAGACAGTTAGGGGACGCTGTACTTTTGAAATGGTACAAGAGTGTGCGTGGAGACAGCAGTTATGGAAAGAGCAGGAGAGAGCATGGGGTCAGTGGCTTGTTGAGCTAGAGTCTGAGCATTGAACTCTGTGACACATCAGGACGGGGGAGAGTTATCTGGACCCTGTGCTCCAGGAGGCAGTGACACCCATTAAGTTCATTACAGTAGCTTTTATCTGTGGTAAGGGGACAGGAAACTCCAACTAAGAGTAAAGCAGAAATGGGGATTCTGAGTTTGGCTTTGGAGGAGCCTCAGCCAGTGTCCTTGTCCTGTGGTTAGAAGGTTATTGCTCCTGATGTGGAGGGTCTTAGGGCTCTCTGCTTCTTCCTGGAGTGAAGGCCTGAACTGTCCCCACCCACCACCACCCTCCTCACCCTCAACAACTTCTTTTCTAACTCCTTTCATTTTTTTCAGGTCATGGGTACCCTCATAGGCCCTAGTTATGCCTGTCTCTTCGCAGGGTACCTGGAACATTCCTTGTTCCAGTCATATTCCTGGCTGCCACCCACAACTCTTTCTCCATCATATCGATGATATCATTGATGCTGCTTCACTCCCTCACCTGGAATTGGAAAAGTTAATCGATTTCCCTTCCAATTTCCACCCTGCCCTCACTATCACCTGGTCTATCTCTGACTCCTCCCTTCCCCTCCTTGATATCTCTGTTTCCGTTTCTGGGGATTGATGGGCCACTAATATCCATTACAAACCCACTGACTCCCACAGCTACCTGGACTATACACCCTTACACCCCACTTCCTGTAAAGAATTCATCCCATTCTCTCAGTTTTTCCGTCTCCATCGTATATGGTCAGGGAGCCTCTGAAATGTCCACCTTCTTCCTCTACTGAGGATTCCCCAGCTCCGTTGTCGACAGGGTCTTCAACTGGGTCCGACCCATCTCCCGCACTTCCGCCC